GAAAAATGTCACTTGAAGAAAAACAGCAGTTCTAAGAAAAATGACCAATATCATGCATTAAATTAAGCCAAAAACGTTGAGAAAAGGGTTTGAAATGGGGAATGAAGCTGATTACTGTACTAAGGGACGCCCGGAACAAGGGTTGACCCCCCGAGGAGTGACTGCCTGTCGTGAGGGCAGCACACCCGAGCCGAGCACGCCCTTGACAGACCGGAGGGTCAGCTTTGTCTTATAGGATAGCTTCAAATAATTGAAAATGGGGCTATCACGATTGCTTGTTCATAGCGAACTGGAGCCACCCGTTAAATACTCGGGTCACGCCGTCAGGCCACCAGCGTCCAGCTAGCGCTGGTCACGTCTGAGGGTTCCGCGGTGGCCCCGCGTGCGGCATTCTGCTTTGGCTCCGGTGTTACGGGCCGCACGCTTATAGTGCTTATAGTCCTCATCGCACGGCGGCGGTCGAAACGACTTAAAATATGGACGTGGACAGAGGAGGAGAGGAAGAAGAAAGGTATAAAATAGCGTAGTGCTGGGAGGAAGAGAGAAAGACAGAGCAGTAGTGAAGAAGAGTGGCCAGGTGCGGCCTGGTGTGGTGGCTCGGCGCGGCAGTGCGTCGCCTCGCCGGTCACCTCGGAGAACTTGTCCTGCTCCTGCTTCCTGGCGGAGCTGTTGCCGGGCCGCGCCCTCCGCCGGCTCCTGGTGCGCTCCTTGTCCTGCGCGTCGAGCTGCACCGCCGCAGGCACCGGCCGCAGGCACCGGCACGGGACCCAAGCACATGCAGATGTCAGAGATGCGCCGCCCGACCGCTCAGCCGTCACGGCGCCGGATACGCATGCCAATAGGAGGCCCAGACGCCACGCGGACGAGAGGGAAGCCCCTCCCCCCCCTTACCCCCCTCGCCCGGGCCTCGCGTCCCAACCGGGACGAAAAGAGTTACGGGGAAAATTACGACATTGAACTGATCGAGAGAGACGGTGCTCCCGCGCCCCATTGTCAGCCCCTCTCTGGCCCTCTCTGCTAATCTCAAAGCCTTGATATCTGAGTGCAAAGCTGCACACCGTAATCCGAGACGGCACTCAGTGAGACGCCCAAGCAAACGCCGCCGTCCCGATTTATCTCGGGCGCCCTGGACGACTCTGCGACGTGCGAAAACACGTCTGGATACACAGCGCGTCCATGTCATGACGATGCGAGTCCGCGCCAGACAGCTTCCTCGCCTTACCGTGAGCACGAGCTGGGCCAGCATGGGCACGACGCCGTGGTCCGTGATGACGGCCAGGTTCTCCCTGTCCAGGGCGACGCGCGCCAGGGCCGCGCACACGGACGCCAGCACGTTGGTGTGCGGGGACTTGAGCAGCGACACGATGAGCTCCAGCCCGCCCACGAACGAGCGCACCATCTCGCCCGAGTCCTGCGGGGGAGGGCGGGGGGTGTGAGGTCGACGAGCAGGGCCCTCTGGTCCCAGCCCCGGGCTCGCGCGGGGCGAGGCGTGCTCACGCTCACCGTGGCGTTCATGATGCAGGGGCACAGGGCCCAGGCCGCCTCGGCCTGCACGTCCGGGCTGTCGTTCTTGAGCAGCGACCAGATGAGGCGCACGCCGTCCAGCTCCTCGATCTCCAGCATGCACTCCTTGTCCTTGCCGGGGGAGGGGAGTCGAGTAAGAGCGGGCCGCTCGGAAATGAAATAATTAGCTGAAATAGGTAATGCATTCGCTAATGTGGCCTTTCGCTTCGCCGATTCTTAGCCGAGAGAGCTAACCTATTAACTTTCACAGCTAGTTCCATTTTTTCTGGATAACTACTGTTATGGCTAATTTTTTAGCTCTCTTAGCTAGGAGAGCTAATATTTTGATCTAAGGCCACATTAGCGAATGCGTTAGCTAATTTAGATAATATTCTTTTTCCGTTTCGAGCGCGGCGCTTACCTTGGCGCACTCGTTGAGGGCGCGGGCCACGTTGCGCAGCAGCGGCTGGTGCGTGCCGTTCAGGTGCAGCACCAGGGGCTTGATGGCGTTGTGCGCGCGGACCTCGGACCGGTTGGCCGCCACCTGCGCGACGCACATTGTGGTGAGGTGACACCTCGGGTGGCACGGGCACTGGAGCGATACCCTTCCCTTCCCCAACGTTACCTTGCAGCACTCGGCGAGCGCGCCGACCACGTTGGTGACGACCTCTTTGTCCTGGTCCTGGAGCAGCCGCGTCATCACTGGGATAATGCCGAGCAAATTGAGCTTTTTGACGTTCTCCAGGCTGATGGCGCACTTCCAGATGGCCCCGGTGACTGCGGCGATGAGGGGCTTGTCCTCTAGCAGGCGTTCGTCCTTGACTAGCTCGACCAGCGGTTCTAACCCACCGTGCTCCCGCACGATGTCCCGCGTGACGGGGTCCTCCGCGCACTAGGAGAAGAGGCCAGAGGCGACTTGTAGTCCTCGATGTCATACAACTAATTGAGCCCGCTACAATCAACTTGACTTTGTACCTTGAAAATTGCGGAAGCGCAGTGTTTCTGGATTTCCGTGTTTTCGGTGGACAGATACTCCACGAGATCGGGTATCATCCCCTCGGTCTGGATAGCCAGTTGAAAATTGGCCTGAACAAATACATGTTGCAATTTAAAGAAGAGGCGACACATGTTGGAGACAAGCGGAGGGAGGGAAGTCGGCTCTCACCTCAGTGGCGCACTGCTGCACCGTGCCCATGATGGGGACGATGATGTCGTTGTGGCCGGAGCGCAGCAGCCTGGCGAGCAGCCGCACCACGCCGGTCTTCCTCATGGCCTCCTTGTTCTTCTGCGAGGTGGACAGCGCCCACAAGGCGCGCGCGCCGGCCACCACCACGTCCACCAGCTCCACCTCCTCGGGGGGCATGGACGAGCGGGGCGTCTCGAGGATGTGCGCGTCGGCGTCCAGGAGGTCGACCTGGAGGTGGCATTATACAGTATGTGCCAAACTTGAGGCGCTACCAAACTGACATTCCTCCGAGCTGACGCCGTCCCCCCCCCCCTCCTTTTCACGAGGGCGGGCCGCCGACTTCACACAGGCGCCTAGCGGGTTGGCCTACCCAGCGTATCGCAGGCGCTATCATTGGCGACCCTCGCGAAACGATCATCGTGGGGACACTCTGGCTAACTCCCTCTGCACGCACACGCACCAGCTTGGGAATGCCGCCCGACTTGCGCACGATCTTCCTGGCCTTCCTGATCTTGCACACGTTGGCGATCGTCTCGGCCGCCAGGATCTGGAGGTCGCGCGCGGGGTCGTCCAGGATCTCGACGAGCTGCTGCACCCCGCCGAGGTCCGTGATGGCCCGCCGGCAGTCGATGTTGAGGGAGATGACTTTCAGGACGGCGAGCGCGCCGAGCTGAAGAGGCACAGAACACAGAACACCTCCCTCAAGTCGAAGTCCAATCCGTCGTTCCCATCGCGTCCCTTACCTTACACTTGAGCTCCTGCGCCTCGAGTAGGTTCACCAGCACCTCCATCCCCCCGCATTCCCTGATGGCCATCTGGTTCGTATCGGAGCTCAGGTCCTGGTCCTTGAGGCACGCCAGAGCCACGGTGGTGGCCGTCTGGTTGCCTACCTGCGCTTCACGGGCACATCGCACGTTAGGAATGGGAACGATGTGCTCATTAGCCGCGTTGTGCTTGGCCCGACCTTCATGTACTTGATGAGCTTCTGGATGTGCCAATAGTCCGAGGGCACGTCCTGGCCGCGCGCGAGCTCGCGCCAGCGGTCATCCTCGTCCTCCTCGGACTCGTCGTCCAAGCTCGAGTCCTGGTTGGCCTCCAGCTCGCGCACCATCATCACCCGCGGACCCATCTCCATGTCCATGTCGTCGTTGAACTGGTTCGACATCCTGCGACAAATTGCGAGATGAAAGGCACGACCTTCTAAGGAAACTGTAGCCCAATAAGGCAAATGTGAATATTTACTTATCGTCGGTAGAGTTCGAAACGGATCAGTCGGGGCTCCCCGAGGGAGCCCAGGTTAAAATTGCCTGTAAATACATTGTTTTCCAATTAGAGGCATGCAAGATTTCTTTTAAATCAATATTGAGAGCGTCATTGGGACAAAATAATTTAGTACCTGGCTAAGACCTCTTTGTTTTCATTTCGATACGACATCCTAACCCACTTTCAAGATATTGATCAAACGATATTGGCCAGTTGTTACCCCAAAATTAAGCGCGAGTCATGTTGCAAACATTGGACTGCCAACAACATTTACTTGCACATATGACGTGTGTTGTTTTACACAGGTAATTTAACATTCAGTGGGCCATACTTCTTATTCTGATGCACAGAGAACGTCAAAACGATTTCTCACATACAGACGACACACTTCAAAGTATAGCGGTCGTCAAGAGTGTATGTTGTCTTCAGTCTTGCCAACTGTTCTCCGGACCGTTTTGGCTAAATTTCATTTCCGCGATAATTTGATGACAGGCAACCACGTATTTATCTCAGAAAAAAGGAGGGATTCTTCTAGATATTAGATAATAAGCAAAACCTTGACTTATCAATTCATTAATTTTTGCAACCGATTGGTTATTTGCAGTTGTGACTAGCAGACGACAGACGACGCCATTATATTCACTTTGTTTGTTTGGATTCCGGCGCGGCTGGCACATCTTCCAGAAATTAACCTACTTCGTTTGAAATTTGAAGGGCAACCTGCAAAGTAATGGACAGCAAGGCATCAACCGCTCCAAATAATGACAAGCCAGAAGAAGATCCTGGAGGACTGGTATCCTGCTCAAGCTGTAATTTTGAAGAACGATATCATTACAAAGGAAAAGAACCACCATTTGCCAGAGCATTTGTGTTTTTGGAGGATGGATACATAATTAGAGATCCATTCTCACCCCCAGGAAATAGACAATGTTTACTCATTGCTGGGGATTGCTCTATGTGTGGCAAAGCAGTGTGCTGTTCTAATGAATGTAGTTTGTTTTATGTGAAACGATTCTGTTTAAAATGTGTTCGCGTCAACATTGGTTACTTTCCATCACAGGTTACAGCTAAATTAAAAAGCTAGAGCTGGTGGTTGTAGTTTTTTATCAATTGGGATATCAATTTGTAAGATTGACGGAGGTTGACGACAGGTTTTGGAAATACTGTCAAATGTGAAATGGCTGTGCTGCACAATTTGGTGTTGGACAGTTATTGACAAACCACAGTCTGCATAAACCAGAATAATTGGAAGGTTCAAGTGTATTTTTTATATTTAAAAAACGCAGTGATTGTACTGTGCGTGTTTTTCCACCTGTCAGACACAAGGAGACTTCATTTGTATTATTGTTCTGCTAAAGTCTTAATGTCTTACCTTTTTTTTTTCAATCAATAAATTTAGTTAATAAACAAATTCTAAATATTTTAGTTCTTTATCAATACCCCTTTGCTTATAAATATTACCCAAGAATGACATTAACTACTTCACTGAATTGGTACTCTGTGGGATCGCCTTGCTAGAAATCACCGGGAGTAACTTTGGAGCAATATTTAAAGAGCTTCGGCAAGACATCTGTAAAAAAATTCCTCATTATTTTTTTGTAAATGCACTACAGATTGGGTAATATCAACAGTTATATTGTGTTGAAGCACAAGACAATCTATGATCATGATACTCTCTTGGGACTTTTAGACTTGTTTTAGAACTCCCATAAAATACAACCGTTTTAAGAAAAGAGTGGTAATGTCCTGCCAACATGACACAAAAGCAAGCAAGTTTTGTTCTCATTTTTGAAAGTGACTTCGACAATGACACAAGATAACAAACAATCTATGAAACATATGTAAATGATATAATTGTGAACCGCGTAATTAGTGAGATTTTCCTGCTCTGGCCGAAGCCTAAAGTAATTGTTGTTAGTTAGTTGACTGAGAGGTGGTTATTCGCAGTGATGCTGCCATCCCCCCCCCCCACTCCCCTCAAGCTAGCAGACGAATGAGGGAGAGAGGAAAGCTACGAGGAAAACGAATCCATTATTTTATTT